GGGGGCACGGTGCCCGGTCCTCCAGCCTGCCAGTGGCATCGCTGTGCCTGCGCAGCCTCCCAGCTGGCGGGGAAGACCTTGCTCGCACTTGGCCAGACATCCCCACCCCAGGCGCGGTCTGTGGGGAGGGTCTGGCTGGAGGCCTTCCTCACTCCCTTCTGGGCTTCTATTTCTCCAGCTGTCCTGTGAAACACACAGCACCCAGTTCTCTTTGGGGGGCGGGTGGGGAGGGGGAGGGCTCCTTTCTTTCCCTTCCCACAAATTGCATCAAGTGTGGGGGGCCCTGTGCAGGGCTGGGGCTGCCCAGGCAATAGCAGTAGGTCACCAGGCCACTCCTGGCGGCTCCAGTGTCCAGTGTCCCTTCCTGCCTCCGCTGTCTCTGCACAGCCCCCCACAGCCCCCCACGACAGCCCCGTCGTCTTTCTCCAGAAACCTAGGCCTCCGGGCCAGAGACCGCTGGCCTGGGAAATGGGGGTTTGTGGGAGGTCATTTGTGTCCTGTCCACTCTCCCAGTCCCCTCCCGGTGATGCCTGCTTCTAGCTCTGTCTGGACCCACTCTTTCCTGCTCTGTCTTGTCGTCCGCTGCTACTTCTTCCCTCTGAGCTTCAGTCTGGCCCTTTTCCTGGCAGGGTGATAATTCAACATTGCACACAGCCTAACTATGCAGGACACTGGGAGGAGGCGTTGAAGGGCAGAGGCAAGGGCCCGTGGCCACGTGCTCAGCCCTTTACCCAGCAAAACAAGCGCCTGGTGGGCCCCGGCCCCTGGCCCCCAGGGCACTGTGCGGCTCGGCTGTGGAAGCATCTCAGTGACAGCACCCTGAATGCATCGCTGCCCCGGCTTCGGGGATACCTCCACCTCACACCCGCTGATGCTGAGTGTCCCGTGGCTCGTTCCCGTAACCACCCACTCTAGGCTCTTCTGACCCAGGACAGTCCCCTGCTCCTCCTTCCCCCCAGTCCGCACCAGACTCTCTCCTCCTGGAAACCCGACTCCCCATGCCAGGCCCCGCCAGGCCCTCTGATCTCCGGCCCCGCCTGACACCCATGGCTGTCCTGGGCTCGGTTCTGTCCTGGGCCCCTGGCAGATTCTTCTCCTGCCCTTGGGAGGCAGCTTGTGCCGGGGTGCTGCTGGGGCCTGGAGCTGAGCCTCGTCCTTCCCTCCCGTCAGCTCTCATCCCACTCTGGGTCCCTCCGCATGAGGCTGGATGCCGGAGTGTGGGAGGCAGGGCCACACGCCAGGAGGGTGGGCGGGGTCCTGCCACAGCCCCGCAGGCCACCGATGGGTCCCCGCGCCGCTCCTGTCCCATCTGGCTTCACCCCAAACTCCAGTGCCTGGAATATGGATGTCGGGCCTCCGGCTTCTTCCTCAGGGCTGGCCAGCCCTTCTCAGGCCAAGTGTCTCTTCATCAAAAGCACCCAAGATGGAGCCGTTTCAGCCCTGTCTGAGGGAGCCGTAAGCAGGAGAGCGCATGAGCTCAGGGCTCTGGAGTCAGAATTCCGGGCTCAGGCCCTTCCTGGTGGTACAACAGATTAAAGCGCAGCACTACGAAGCTGTCTGCAGCCACTGCAGCATGAGTTCGATCCCCGGCCAGGGAGCGACCCACAGGGCGCAGCAGACCCTCCTGTCTCCCGCTGCCCCGCTCAGCAGAATCCTCTCACCCCTGACACCTCTGGCCTGTACCCCAGTTCTGTATGCATAAATAAATAAATCTTAAAAAAAAGAATTCAGGCCCTCCCTGGTAGCGCAGCGGGTTAAAGCACTGCACTACAAAGCTTAAGCCACTTTAGCATGAGATCGATTCCCGCCTGCCCCGGAGGAGTCCACATGGCGAGGCAGACCTCTCCTGACCCGCCCGCTGCTCCCCTCAGCAGTGTACTTCGTCGATCTGCCTGTTCTGCTCCCCACTCTGTCTCTGGTGAAGCCTCTCACCCTCCGCATCTCTGGCTTATACCCCAGTTCTATATGAATAAATAAATAAAATCTTTAAAAAAAAAAAGAATTCAGGGCTTGAACCCCAGGCCTGCACTTACTAATGGCAAGACTTTGATCATGTTACTTAACTCTCCCTGTTCAGTTTCCTCATGTGGAAAGGGTAATAACACCCACTGCCAGGTTGATGAGGCTTCACCTGTAGGATTCCAGAAGGAAACACATCCTCCCCCGAGAGTCCAAGGAGATGGGTTTAATGAGAGGATTTCTCCTGGGGGCGAGGCCAAAGGCTCTGATGCAGGCTGGGGAGGCCAGCGGGGGCCAGCGTCCAGTTTGTCCTGGACCGAGGGGTTTCCTGGGATGTGGGACTTTCGGGGCTAACCCTGGACGGTCCTAGGAGAGTCAGGAGGAGCTGGTCACTGTGTGTGAGGCTGAAGCGACCAGAGGCAGCGGTGAATTGTGGGAACTGGGGCCCTCCCTGGTGGTGACGGGTTACAGGGCAGCTCCCTAGGAAGCTGCCCGCAGCCCCTGCAGCGCGAGCGCGATCCCCGGCCAGCGAGTGACCCACAGGGCGCAGCAGACCTCTCCTGTCTCCCCTCAGCAGTGTGTTTCAATCCATCCACCTATTCTGCTCCCCCACTCAATCTCTGGTGAATCCTCTCAGCCCCCGCACCTTGGCCTGTACCCCAGTTCTGTATGCATAAATAAATGTATAAATCTTAGGAAAAAAAAGAATTGTGGGAACTGAGGGGCACCCCGTGGAGAAGCTGGAGTCAGCGGCACGCAGGGAGAGAGGGGCTGGGGAGAAATGTCCCCCTTCTCCCTGACCCCTGCGGGGTCTCCCAGGCCGGCCCGGGGGGGGGGGCAGCCAGCTTTTCTAAAGGGCGGGGGCGCGGGTCCTGCTGGAGGCCGAGGTGAAGAGGTCCAGGGACCGGGAGCTGCGAGGGAGCCGTTGACAGGGCTCAGGGCGGGTGGAGAGTGGCCGTGGGGCCGGAAGGTGGCACACAGGACACTCGGCTTGCAGACAGACAAGCCAGGCACACGGGCACTCCGCCGGCTGTGGGGCAGCGGGGCCAGCGTTTGCCCCTCCGTCCACTCTGCTCGGCAGCTCGTCTGGCCCGTGGGGGGCTCGCTGATGTCCTTGCCCTTCTCTGTCCCGTCCTGCACGGCTGGACTCCACCCCCAGCCCCATGTCCGGCAGGCGTCGAGGGGCCCAGGACAGCCGACTCCCCCTGGAGCTGGAGGCCTCGAGCTGAGCAGCAGCCCAGCAGGGAGCTGCTCCTTTGGGGCTGCAGAGAGCTCGGAGCTTGGTGCTCTGCTCAGAGCCGAGCGGGCGGGGAACCGGGCTGCCTGCGCTGCCTGGGCTGGGGCTGAGGGCAGTCAGCGGCGGGAGGAGGCGTCAGCAGTGGGCTCTGGCTGCCCGGGCGCCTGCCCCCAGTGCCCAGCACAGAGCCTGGCACGGAGCACCAAGGGAGCCTGCGTGGCTGAGTCTCAGGGAGGGGTGGATGTGCTGCAGTTGATGTTACTCCCACCGTGCTGGTGGGGCACAGTGACTCAGAGGCTGACATCACTGCCTCCCCCGGGGGCCCACTCAGGACCGTCTCCCCCACCTACACCTGGTGGGGAGAGATAAGGGAGGCTGAGAAAGTGATCGCAGCCTGGGGACAGGAGACAAAGGTCAGGGGACGTGACAGCTCTGACACGGGATGGCTGGCAGGCCGCTCTTCCGAACGGGCTTCCATTCCGGGTCCATTAGAGGGGCCCGGGGACCTGGGAGTCGCCCAGGACAGCAGCTCCGAGAGAATTCATCTCCCAGCGCCCGCCCCGCCAACGGCTGGCGCCCTAGTTCCGAGCAGGGAGGGGCTAGTTCTGACTGCACCCCCTTACCCCCATCCGCCGGGGAGCTGGGCTCAGCTTCATGAGCCTCCCTCGGGCCCTAGGCAGGGACCCAGCTGTCCAGGGCTTGGAGCGGCTCTCGCTCCGTCCGGGGCTGTGGGGGGCTGGAGGCGCCTTCTCCCTCCAGGTTCCGAGCCATCAGTGTTGGGGGGAGTTCAGGTTTGTCCTGGCAGCTCTGTGGGAGTCTCAGCACGTGCCACCTCCGCGCCATCCCTCAGGCGAGTCTGCCCTCCATGGGCCCTTCTTGCTGAGAGAATTGGGTGAGAGGGTCATCTCCAAAGTCGCCTGGAACACTCCCTGCTCCCATCTGCTGTCTCTGGGTCTTCCCTTGGCCTGGCGGGTGGTCCTAGCAGCCTGAGGTGCGGGTGTGGAAGGGCGGCAGGGCTGGTGGGAGATGCTCTCTGACCCCTCTGGGCTAAGGATCGGGGCGCTCTGTGGAGGGGAAGACAGACTGTTGGGTGCTCCGTGGGCCTCTGGAGGCCTTTGCTGGACACACGCTTCTTGGGGCTGTACCTGTGTCCAGCCTGCACCCACATCCAGGTCCCTCCAGAGTGACAGCACCCTCCGGGGACTGCCGTGGGACAGAGAGTGGAGGCTCAGGCGATCGTCGAAGACCCGCCCCCCCCATTTCTCTGCAGCCCCTGGCAGAGTTTGCCCTGGGCACAGCAGAGTCTCTGCCCAGCAGACAGTGCCTGTGTCTGACCACAGGGCCACCCCCGGTCTGCCGCTGGCCCCCACCCCGGTCTGTCGTCTGGGACCTGTCCCCCCCTCCCCAGACACTCCAGGAGGCGAGGAGGCCGTGGGCTGGGTGGGTGGGACTGGAGCAGGCCTGGGCACCCTCTCCAGCAGCCCGTTGCCCAACACTTCCTCCCTTACCACCTGCACAGCCCTGGGCCCCGGGGCCTTGGCTTGCAACAGGGGCCTGGGACAAACCCCACAGAACAGAGCCCCATTGACTGCAGCCACTGAGGCTGGGGGAGGAGCCACTGGGTGGCGGGGGTGGCCGTGGGAGCCCGTGTCATCCCGTTCCAAGTGAGGAGAGCCTCGGGGAGAAGGTGGCATCGTCCCCGGTCCTTCTCGGCTCAGCCTCAGCTCTGGAGCACAGGTGACAACAGGGAGCAGTCCCTCCCTCCTGCTGGGGGTGAGGGGACTCCCCACAGCCCACAGGGCCCCTCCCTCTCTTCCTGGGGCGATGGGGCAGGAGTGTCTGGAACCCAGGAACCAGCCCAGCTGGGAAAAGATAAAAGCCCATCATTGGCCCAGCGGCTCACTGCGCTCCCGCCCGCTCCCGCAGCCTTCGCTCCGGCCCTCTGCCAGCCATGAAGTCCTCCGTGTCCCGCCAGGCCTACTCCTCCAAAGGGGGCTTCAGCTCCAGCTCCGCCTGTGGCGGGGGCAGGTCCCGGGCCCGCACCAGCTTCAGCTCGGTGACAGTGTCCCGGAGCGGTGGCAGCTGTGGGGTGCCCCGAACTGGTGGCTTTGGCAGCCGCAGTCTCTTTAACTTGGGGGGCAACAGAAGCATCTCAGTCAGTGTGGCCGGAGGGGCGTCCTCAGGACGGGCCATGGCGGGCCTTGGTTTCGGCAGCGGGGCCTACAGGGGCCTGGGGGCTGGCAGGCAGACGTTCGGGCCCGTCTGTCCTCCCGGAGGCATCCAGGAGGTCACCGTCAACCAGAGCCTCCTGACACCCCTTAACGTGGAGATTGACCCCGAGATCCAGCGGGTGCGCACCCAGGAGCGCGAGCAGATCAAGACCCTCAACAACAAGTTTGCCGCCTTCATCGACAAGGTGGGCCCAGGAGGGGGCAGGGAGGGTCCTTGGGGCCGAAGCGGGTCCTTAAGGGAGGGTGGGCTGGCTGCAGGCTGCTGTGGCATATGAGCACGGGGGTGGGGCGATGGGATGACCCGGGCTCCTCTGGGGTGCCCAGACATGACGCTGCACTCCCTCTTCTGGGTCTCTACTACTCAGGGGAGTGCAGCTGGCTCTTGAGGCCTCTGGCCAAGCCCACCTTGACCTCACTGCAGCCAACATTAAGGTGACTACACAGTGGCCTTGAGGGACAAGTACGTGGCAGGATGTCTCTGCTGTTCCTTTTAGCGGGGAGTCCTCTGGTCATTTTCCAGCAGGGCAAACTGGCTCAGTTGTCCAAGAGTCCCCCAAGGGGTCCATCTGTTTCCTGACCCTGGGCCTCAGGCCTGAGGACAGAGAAGCGCACAGGCCTGGTTGGGGTGGTGCCAAGGGGAATCGTCTCCTGCCTCTCTTGGCTCTTCCGGTCTGGAAGCTCAGTGTGGGTGGGACAGGGAGGAGTGTGGTCTCCAGGTCACCGTGACCTGGGGGCGTGGCCTTTGTCTGTCCCAAGCGAAGCGTCCTGACCCCTGCCCTCACTTCCAGACAGGCGGGGACAGCTCTTGTTCTGTTCTCTGCGGCCTCCCCTTCTGCTGCCTCCATCCAGGGCCTGGTCAGGACGGCCATGATGGGAGGCTGGTGGATTTAGGGTACCCAAAGCACTTCACATCAGAACAAGTCCTAAAACAAGTGGCATTGTGCCCACTTTTTTTTTTTTAGATTTATTTATTTATGCACACAGAACGGGGATACAGGCCAGAGGTGCAGGGGGTGAGAGGATTCACCAGAGACAGAGTGGGGAGCAGGACAGACAGAACCACTGAAACACACTGCTGAGGGGAGCAGCGGGTGGGCCAGGAGAGGGCTGCCGCGCCATGTGGGTCACTCCCTGGCCGGGAATTGAACTTGTGCTGAAGTGGCTTTAGCTTCGTAGTACTACGCCACCAGGGAGGGCCCCTGTGCCCACCTTTGAGAAAAGAAAGCAGGTTTGCAGAGGTAAAGTGATTTGCCAGGATCAGTCGGTTCTTGGCAGCCGAGGTGGGCGGGGGCATGTCCCTGGGCCCCTGGCTCTTGGCACCGAGACGTCTGCGCACGGGATATGGCAGCTGCACCTGCTCAGGCCCCGTGAGGGTGGCCTGGGGGCCGAGGAGGCGGGGCTGGGAGACAGGCAGGCAGAGTGGAGCAAGCTGCCCGCCCACCTCTTCACCTTCTGCCCCGTGACTTTTGCTTCTGCTGTGGGACTGGCCCGGAGGTCAAAACGGCAGAACCCCAGGCCCTCGGAGCCGCAGCCTGGGTGGGGCCTGGCGCTGCCTGTCAGGGGTCTTGGAAGCCTGGCTGGGCAGCGGAACCAGCGGGAGCTTGCTGACCCCACACCAGGAGCCCTGCCCGGGCTGACGGGGAGAGACCGGGCGTCGGCATTAAAAACAACTTCAACACCCTATTAAATTCGCAGAAAACTGGGAGAATTGTACAAGTAGGGTCCCGCCACTCTGTTACCCAGATTCACCGTCTGTGCTTTGCTCTCGCCCCACCCTGTGCGTGTGCGCGTGGTTATCATTTGGGGGTGTAATTACACACATCACTGGACACGCACCTGCACTTAATGCTGCACTTGATGCAGCATTAGGGGTCAGCAGCACTGAGAAGGTCCAGTTCACCCTGGACAAGTGAGAAAGGGTGACCCAGAGAGCAGGGACTGGCCGAAGTCAGCAACTGCGGGGGAGTGATGGAATTGGGGCTTTTTATTTTCTTTTTTAAAGATTTATTTATTGATGCAGACAGAACTGGGGTACAGACCAGAGGTGCAGGGGCAGTGAGAGGGTTCACAGAGACAGAGTGGGGAGCAGAACAGGCCAACTGACGAAGTCCACCGCTGAGGGGAGCAGCGGGCCCGCCAGGGGAGGTCTGCTGTGCCCTGTGGGTCACCTCCGGGGCAGGCAGGGATCGAACTCACGCGGAAGTGGCTTTAGCTTCTCAGTGCTGTGCTTTAACCCGCTGCGCCCCCAGGGAGGGCCCAGAATGGGGGCCTTTATGCTAGCAGCGCTTCCGAGTCCTTGCCGGCGGATTGGACTGTCTTCCAGGAAGGTGGTCACCTCAGGCGCTGCCCTGGTCAGGGGCGATGGCGTTCGTGGGCCTCTCTCCCCGCCTGTTGTGGGCAGGGACGGCACCCGCTAACCTTCTTGCTCTGCTCAGGTGCGGTTCCTGGAGCAGCAGAACAAGGTGCTGGAGACCAAGTGGGCCCTGCTGCAGGAGCAGGGCCAGAACACAGGTGTCACCAGGAACAACCTGGAACCCCTCTTCGAGAACTACTTGAGCGCCCTTCGGCGGCAGCTGGATAACGCCCAGAGTGAGCGGGGGCGGCTGGACTCGGAGCTGAGGGGCATGCAGGACCTCGTGGAGGACTACAAGAACAGGTGAGGGGAGGGGCAGGTGCTGGCGTGGGGGGGGTTCCCCGAGAGGGCCCACGCCAGGGCGCTGGGGCCCTTCCCGGGGAGTGGACGGACAGAACTGCTCCCTCGGGTGTGCGGGCCGGACACTGCCCTCTGGAGCGCTGCCACACCTCTGAGTATCGTTACTCGTCATCTGGAGGACTGCCGTGAGGCGGAGGGCGGTCTCCCGAGCCTGGGCCGGCCCCACGGCCGTGTCACCTATGCCCCCTCGCTGTCCGAAGCGTGGTCCCATGTCATCGGTGACACTCTCCTGGACAAACTCCCGCTTCATCCACATCCCTTGACTCCATAAAACACGAACACAATGGCGTGAGCCTGCCCGCAGCTGCGAAGCTGGCAAGCCCTCGGTATTCTCAATACTCACTCTTCGGTCGGTTTAAATCTCCCAATTATTCCACACATGTCGTCAATTAAAAAGATACAGTTCTTCTGTATTCTGTATTCCATGTTATGATCGGTTGATGTGTACAGTCCTCATACCAAGTACTTACCTTTCATAACTTTCCTAATAACTGGATACCAGCAGTTTTTTTTTTTTAAATAATATGTTTATTTTTACGTCATTCTGTGCCTTTTTCCATCTCAGTTGCAATCCCCGTGGGCTTCCCATCACCAACTCACCCGTGTGCCATCACCATAGTCCAGTGCACCCCCCGTTTTTCCCCACCCCCACTCCACCCCTGTAAAATGTCTCTGGGGATACCAGCAGCTTTTAAAGACCCAACAACAGCAGGTGATGTTCATTGTACGTGACAGTCTGTTGATGCCAGTGAGGGCAGAGCGGACCGGCTGGCACCCTGGCACCTTCTCTGTGGCTCCTGAGGGCTCTGAGCCCAGAGGGGCAGCCCTGGATTGGCATCTCCTGGCACCAATCCTGTGCCCGGGGTCTCCGAAGGGGGTGGAGACAATACTTAAATCAGACTGTACTGCATTCCTGCACTGGTTGGCTGCGTCACAGTCGCTCCCCTGAGGTGCCCTTGGCCGGGGGGGGGGGAACCCCCTGGGGCGTTCTCAACGTCAGGTGGGTCCAGTGCTTTAAAGGCGGAGCCGAGCCTGGCCTGAGTCTTCCCTGTGGCCCAGGTACGAGGATGAGATCAACAAGCGCACAGCCGCAGAGAACGAGTTCGTGGTGCTCAAGAAGGTGAGCAGGGGCCGGGGAGGGGTGGCCGGGGCCCCAGGCGGACCCAAGAGCCCCGGGGACTGAACCTGTGCCCGCTCTCCCGCACCCCAGGATGTGGATGCTGCCTACATGAGTCGCATGGACCTGCAGGGCAGAGCGGGCACTTTGACCCAGGAGATTGAGTTCCTGAACAACCTCTATGAGATGGTGAGAAGGCCAGCGGGCGGAGAGGGGGTGCCCACCGGGATGCGGACTCCCCTGCAGGTCTGATCTGAACCCACCAGCCCAACGGAACCGGCGGGCCAGTACTGGCTTCTACGTACTAGGTGCTTCGGACGGGCCAGGCTTTTCCCATAATCCTCTCAACAACGCATGATGATGCTACTCACACGGTCTCCGTGTTGAGGCCCGACACGAAGCCCAGAGTAACTTGCCAGTGGTCACGCAACTAGCGAGAGGTTGTGCTGGAGCGAAAGGTCGCCTCCTGGGGTTGGAAATCTGACGTTTGCTTCTGTGTGAACTGACCCCCTTCTTGGCCAGCTCGTAATGGTGCCAGGGCAGAGGAGCACAGGGGGCTGAGTTCTAGGAGAGGGAGGCGAGGTGTGGGTGCTGGGTGCATCACAGAATCCCGGAGGGGCCCTGGAAGCAAGGTGGCTTCGCAGACTCGGGTGAGTGAGAGGGTTGAACTTCACACGAGTTGGCCACAGGCTGACAGACTTAGACGCCGCAGGGCCTGCTGGGTCAGTCTTGTGACCTCTGCTCACACTTCCGGCAGCTGGAGCACATTAGTTTTGGGTGGGCATTTGCACCGTTGAACAACTTTATTAGAAATCTGACTTGAACCTTTTCCCCCTGCTTCTGCTCCCGGTTGCCTGTCCCCTGGGGCACACATCCGGGCACCTACATGCGACAGACAACCCTTCCCAGGTCAGATAAGCAGGGGGCGGGAACTGTGCCGAGCTTCTGAGTCCCGGATCAGAAAACAGGGGTGAGGCGGGAGGGGGCAGGTGCCGCACTGCGCTGGCTTCCCTGAGCCCTCTCTCGCCCCCCCCTCCCCCCCGGGGTTTCTCTCCTGCGGCTGCTTTCAAGCATGCTAGCTGAGTTGCTGAAGCCTAATGCGAGAATCAGTCACTTCCCTCCCCCGGGATTTCATGCCTCTTGGGTGACTACCGCTCTTTGAACTGACTCTCCCACCCAGACATTGGATCTGCCTGCTGGATAATTGGCTACATCCGTGCTGCCCTCGCTGGGGGTTGTCCGCAGGCCGGAAAGGCAGCGTGTGGTCTATCACTATCAGTGTATTTGAGAGGAAACCACCTGGCTTTGCTGCTCAGAGGCTGGTTCCCGAGTGAACGGCCTTCAGGCGTCACCTGCTCTTCTCCACGCCTCTTTCCTCGCCTGCCCACGGCCAGGTGCTGGAGCAGGCTGCTAACTGGCTGAGTGGAGCGTGGGGTTCAAACCAGGCCAGTGGGCTCAGCTCCTGGACCCTGCTATTAGCTGTGTCGTCAGAGGGGAGCCTTTCCCAATTTGCACAGAAGCACCCCGCGGACCTGCCGGGGCCCCGCCTGCCCCTCAGTGTGTGAGGGCCGGTGGGGTGCTGGCCAGTCCGAGGGCAGTATGCCAGGAAGCCTGCAGGTCCACACTATAAAAATGGCAGCCCCATTGTCCGGCTCGCCTCCCGCTGCCTCCCCAGGGAGCCTGGGCCCCGTGGCAGCTATCTCTGCTTCTACAGGAGCTGAGCCAAGTTCAGACCCACGTGTCTGACACCAATGTCATCCTGTCCATGGACAACAACCGCTGCCTGGACCTGGACAGCATCATCGCTGAGGTCAAGGCCCAGTACGAGGCCATCGCCCAGAGGAGCAGGGCTGAGGCTGAGGCCTGGTACCACTCCAAGGTGAGAAAATGGCCGGTTTAGGTGTGTGGGCTGGGCCTGCAGAGGGGCCTCCCCCCAGGCCAGGGCCACTGGGCTCCTTGGGGGTGCAGGGCCAGACACGCCAGCCCAACTGCAGGCCTCCAGGCGTGAGGGCGGGCCCGAGGCCAGCGGTGGCCCGCTCGGGTCTGGAACTCTCTGAAGGCTCACTGCCCCTCTTTGGCCTCCAGTATGAGGAGCTGCAGGTGACAGCTGGGAGGCACGGGGACAACCTGCGGGACACCAAGAACGAGATCGCTGAACTTACCCGCACTGTCCAGAGGCTGCAGGCGGAGGTGGACGCAGCCAAGAAGCAGGTGAGTCTGGGGGTGAAGCTGCAGCCGTGGCAGGTGCAGGGCCTCCTCGCTGACATTCTGAGGGCTGAGACTTATTCTGATGGGTGGGACTCAGAGAGGCAAAGACACTCACCCAAGGCCACACAGCATGGCAGGCGCTGACCTCCAAGGAGCCTGACGCCGTTTCCAGGAGGTCAAGGCAGGAGGCTGAGGGTTCAAGGCTCCAGGCCACAGCTGGTGACTGCATCTAGGGTTCGGCTGGAGAGCATGGGCTGCTCCCCTCAGCCAAGTGAAGCTTCGGTTAGCAGTGGGCACTGGCTAGTTGAGGTGGGACCTTCCCAGCGACCGGTGTGAGGCAGCTTCTCCACTTCAGATGGCGACATGTGCCCCCATTCCCAGTGGACTTTCTGCTCCCAGTGTTGGCTGGCTCGGGGCTGGGCAGGGGGGTGCCGGGAGGGTGTTCCTGACCCTGCTCCTCCCCGGGCAGTGCCAGCAGCTGCAGACGGCCATCGCGGAGGCCGAGCAGCGCGGGAACCTGGCGCTGAAAGACGCGCAGAAGAAGCTCGGGGACCTGGACGTGGCCCTGCACCAGAGCAAGGAGGAGCTGGCCCGGCTGCTGCGCGACTACCAGGCGCTCATGAACGTCAAGCTGGCGCTGGACGTGGAGATCGCCACCTACCGCAAGCTGCTGGAGGGCGAGGAGAGCAGGTGGGCCCCGCCCGCCTGCCCCGACGCCCCGTGGCAAAGCCCCAGTCAGCGCGGATGCCCAAGGCAGGGAGGGGCAGGAAGCCACAGGGCCACTCCTGACTCCCCGCTGTGTCCACTGCCCCTGTTGGCTGGCACAGCCCTCCGCCATCCTTCTGGGCCAGCAGCCCAGCGGGCGTGGGGCTTCCTCTTCCACACCAGGGAAAACGCTGAACGTTTCCTCACCTGCGCTTGGGGAAGCCACAGGGTGTAGGGAAGTAGCCACAGAGACCGGGCACCTGTGCCCGCCGGGGGCCATGCTGGGGGCAGGGCGGGCATTGCCTCTCAGCTCTGCCTCCTCCACCACACCGCTCAGCGCCCGCGGCAGGGCTCAGGCCAGCGTGGCCGCCGGACGCCGCGGGTCTCGTGCTGTGACGTGGCCTGCTTGCGCCACTGGACCAGCGGAGAGAGGGCGGGCGAGGGTTTTCCTTGGGCTCCGGGAGCCCCTGACCTCCCGGCCTCTCTGTTTGCCCAGGATGTCTGGAGAGTGTCCCAGCGCCGTCAGCATCTGTGAGTATTTCCCGGCCCCGCCCTGACCCGGTGCAGGTCTCTGCTCTGTCCACCTGTCCTTGGCCTGGAGC